CTCGCTATGCTCACCTTTGCCCCTGTGGTCTTCCTTCAAAGTGGCGGCGCCAGCGGGGTTCCTCGGGGGTCCTGGCGGGGCTTGGGTGTCCCGGGTCAAAATGCCGCCCCCCTGGGGTCCTGGGGGGTCCTGGGAGGGGGGGGTCCTGGAGGAGGTGGAGGGGGTTGTTGGGGTGGGGATCCCCGGTCAGCGGGGGCCCCCGGGAAGGTCCCGCCTTCAAGGTCTGTGGCGCCAGTCGCAAGACCTTCGCAATAAAAAGGATCAGAAGAATAATCAGACCAACAAGTATGAACAACATGAGCATCATATTCATCCGCATGAGCAAGTCACACTTCATGATGACAGTAAAAGTGCAAATGCGAATGGCAAGAAGCAGAAGACATGTGACAGGGGTGCGTGCTCCAGGGCCCCGGTATCCACCTCTCCCCAGCCCCCCCCCCCTCGCCAACGCCTGGAGTGTTCTGGGTCATGACTCGGGCCTCTGGCGGCCGGTCGGGACGACCCTGGCACCCCCGGAAAGCTCTCGACGAGGCGCAGCTGCTGGAGAGCATCCCGATGCAAGGAACCATCGAAAGTCGGCGGCGAGCCCAGGGGGGAGGTGAGGAGGCCTGCCCCTCTCGCCTCCCCGTTGGGCTCGCCACCGAAACGAGCAGCCCCTTCGAGAGCCAACGAGGGTGTCCGACGCCCCCGCACGAAGACGGCGGCGATGGAGTGGGGCCAGGCGCGGGGCCGCAAAACGGCAGCGGGCGGCGATGGAGGACGAGGGCCGCGATGAGAGTGGGAGAAGGGACGCGAAGGACGGCGAGGACTTCCCGGCGTGACGCGTATCCCTACGAATCCCTATGTTTGGCATCACCTTATCTCGCTGCCGATCTTAAATGTTCCCACATCTTCTGAGGGCACACCCCTGAGATTGCCCTCGCCTCTGGGCTTGCCGGTCTTGGGGATGGGGATCCGCCGACCCCCGCTTGCCGGGGGTGAAAAGGCGTGTGAAACATTCGGCTGTTCTCCTCCCCCTTTCCCCCTCTCCTGGGGCCCAACATGCTTGTAAGGGGGGGCAGAGCTTGTCAAAGCACACCCGGGGTCTCCAAAAAGCCCCAAGACGGCCCAAGAGGGCCCAGACAGAGCGCCAAGACAGTCCAAGAGAGCGTCGAGACAGCGCAGGGTCACCCCAAGACGATCAATATGGCTTCGAGACGGTCCACGCGCCTCTAAGACGGCCTGATAATGCTCCCAGAGGACCGCCGAGAGGGCACCAAGAGGCATGCATTGTCCCATCCCCCTTGGGAAGCGTACACTTTTAGCATACTCGCCCTTTTCGACTCGGCAGCGTCCAAGACGGCCCAAGGGGCCCCAAGATCGCCCCCAAATCGCCCATGAGGCCTCCAAGGGGCACCCAAGGCAGCCCGAGAGGGTCCCGAAACGGCTGCAGAGGCCCCCGAAAAAGGCCCAAGATAGCCCCAAGAGGGCCCTAAGGCGGGCCGAGATACGAACTGACATTTCGAGCCCTTCTCTCCAAAATGACCCCAAGAGCTCCCCCGACGCCTCCGAAGCGCTCACAAGAGGCCCAAAGAGGTTCCCAAGGGGTCCCCAAGACGCGCCGGGGAGGCCCCCAAGAATGCCCAAAGGCCCCCCGGATGCCTCCAAGAGCCCTCCAAGAGGCCCATGAGAGGCATCCCACTAGCCTCTCAAATACATCCAAGAAGCTCCTGACCCACGAGATCATTTCCAAGATCGTCGCAAGCATTCGCTCCTCTGGGATTCGGCGGCATGGCGTAAGACATTTGGATAAGCTCGAGGCTGGAGAAGGACGGCGAGGACGACGGCGAGGGCGACGCTTGCCCCGAAGGCGACGACGGCGGCGACGACGACGGCGACGACGGCGGCGGCGACACCTGAATTGGGGCGCGGGGCGCGGGGCGTCGGTCACTGGGCGCCGGCGCCGAGCGGCCCAGGGGCTGCGGGGGCTGCACACCTGGGCGCTCTCTCGAGTTGTTTCGCTTGAAGGAACAGCGATGGACAAAAACATTATATTTTGATCTTGATCACCCGCCCGACAGATTGGGGTCGGTAGATTATAGGAACAGACCTCCCAGCCCGCCCGCCCTGCATACACGCGGCCGCTAGATCCCCAGGCTCCCGATCATCCCTGGTGGTCCCGCCCCTCGTGCCGACTCGCCCACTCTGCATACTGCGGCCACCAAATCCCCAGGTCCCCCGATAATCCCTGAGGGTCCCACCCCCCGCGCCGACTCGCACACTCTGCATACGGCGGCCGCCAGATGCCCAGGCCCCCCACAGAACAGAGCATAACACCACACCACCGAACACAACCTATCCGAGCATCAAATACCATATCATGGCAGACCATATCGTAACATAACACACCATGACAGAGCAGTGCATACCGTAGCACAGCATCACTGCACATATCATCCCATAACATGCCAATTTAAGCATAACCTAACAAATCAACGCAGAGGTGAACATACCAAAACACACCAAGTCACAACATCATATAACATGGCATATCATACCATAACACAACACAGCATAACAACGCATGCTAGGACAGACTGGAGCATGCGTACCATAACATGGCATGTCACACCATAGCATTGCCTACCATAGCATCACATGATAAATGGCATTGCCAGCCACAAGCTAGTACATAATCACAGCACATATCATCACGCACCATGCCAAATCATACCACCACAAAACGCAGCATAATATTTATATATATATATACCATTATAATAACAGGCCACCATAAGCTACGACATATTCTGCCACACGGAACATAGCATAACACCACACCTCACAACACAACCTGCGACATGGCCCGACAGCAGCAGTGGCCGAGACCACCGCGCCCCGCGCACATCGTTCCAATGAGCGCGCGCACCTTCGGGATCAAACGCCAAAGGTTTCGGTGGGGAACGCTCGATGCAACATGCTTGGTTTTCTTCAGTGTTTTTTATTCCCTGGCATCGGGCTGCTGCGACGACTGCGCTGGCGTCTGCCCAGGGGCTGCTCCGACTGCTCCAGGCGGTCGTTGGCGTGTTGAAGCCAGAGATGCAGTCAAAACTCATAACAAAGATGCGCAATAAGGATGCAGGACCCTTGGGCGCCCGTGTTGACGTTTTTTTTCGGGCGCGGCTGGTAAGGACGGACCGAGGAGGCAAGGATGCAAGGGTACTCCAGTCTTCACAAAATAAGGGTGGTGGTTTGATGTGGGAGGGTGTCTGATTTGAGCTGTCTTGGAGAGTTCCAGGAGGATCTGGGCAGAAGGCCGCCCTTTCATGGCCAGTCTGGGGGGGTATAAAATTGCTCGTCTGGGAGGGTTGTGACCCCCCCCCTTCATACAAAATCGGGGGTACCCTTGGAAAGGCGCTCATCTTTACTATCATTGTTGGTTGTAGCGCCAACCAGGAGGGCGGGACAGGACTGCACCAGGGCCCGAGAGGGGATGAGCGAAATCCACGCTTCCCCCCGCCAGGCTGTCACGCGCGGCAGAAGTCCAAGGCAACTGCCTGCTCCAGGGCCTTCGAAGGACCGGGCTCGTCGCGGCCGTCGTCGACGTCGTCGTCGCCGCCGCCGTCGGTGGGAGAAGGGGACGGAATGATAACGACCAGTCGAGATAGTGGCGGGCGACCCCCCCTGAAAGTGCCTCGCCCTCGTTGGGGCTCACAGGAGGCTGCTCCTCGCGACGACTGGACCCGCCTCGCAAAGCAAGTCAGGACGGCGAGGGATGGGCCCAGCGACCAATTCTGAGTGGATTTGGGGCTCTCATCCTGCTCCTCCTCCTCCTCCTCCTGCTCCTCCTGCTCCTCCTGCTCCTCCTGCTCCTCCTGCTCCTCCTCCTCCTCCTCCTCCTCCTCCTCCTCCTCCCTTCTCCTCCTCCTACTCCTCCTCCTACTCCTCCTCCTCCTCCGACCTCGGGGCGCCCGCCTCTATGGCCTGGCCAGAGGGGCGAAGGATGGGGGAAGGATGATAATATCGGCCAACATCGGATCGGCACATCAGATCGGGTCGGGACGCGGATCGGATCGGGGCGCGCCGGGGCGCAGCCACAATCGGATCGGATCGGCTGCGCCAGGACCCGAACACCGCCATGCAAGCACCAGGCCGTGTCGGAGGGTGGCGGAAAACCGATCCTCATCTTCCCCCTTCTTCGCTTTCCTCCTCGTCCAATGGCGCGGGTGCCGCACGCATGGCCCTTGGGGCGGCATCGCGGTCATCGTCATCGCGCGGAAGAGGAAAAAGGAGGGAGGAGGAGGAAGAGGAGGAGGAGAAGGAGGAGGAGGAGGAAGCATTGGCAGTTATGTGACCTCTGCCTGTACTGAGGTTCTGCTCGACTGAACTTCGAACTGGTAACTGCTGGCTGAAGCATTCGGCTTTTCAGAAGGAAGCCTGCGGGAACCATGGCCTATGGAGCCTCTCGGGCCCGCTTCGACACTGGGCCGAATCCCTCCGACGTTGTTTGCGTGGAACGGGTGAGGGTTTATCGCGCTGTGGTGCACCCCCTCCCGCGCTCGGGAGAGGCTTCAAGTGTTTTCTTCCTCGAGACCCCTACGATCTGTAGCCGTTGCAGGTGGCTCTGTCTCCGCCCCCCAGCCCCCCTCAACCTCACCTCGCCCGCCCCAATGGTCATGGAGGTAACGCCTACGGATGCAAAGTGATACAGACCTATCTGCCACAACAGCCGATGCCTCAAACCCAATACGGACCATCTGAAACACCTCTGGACACCAGGCCAGGAAGCCAGGGAGGGGAGGCAAGGACAGAGGGGAACGAAACCAGGCGCCAGGGGCATCCAGCGGGGTAGTGGCGAAGAAGGCGGAATGTTGGCAAAGCCTGAGCCGTATAGCGACAATACCTCCAGTCAAATGATACCGTGTAGCAAAATTTTGCTGCATGTCCGCTGGGCCCCTTGGCCCGACTAAAGGTCAGCACGCTGCGCGCAGTGCAGAGAACCCGGCCCTTACCACCTCCCTCCCTCCGCGCGATCAGTCGGCGCCCAAGCGCCGAAGTAATTCTGCTGCTCTCACTGCCCAGCTGCGCCTGACGACGATTCCTCCATGTTCACGCCGCGGCTCCTTGGCGCTGCCCGGCAAATTTCTGAACCTGTCTCTCGAGCGCCGCGGGGGGAGGCGCTCCGACTATTGCTGCTCCGCGTGTCGCCTTCAGTGACGCGTAGATCATCGTGCGCACCTGTGGGATGCTGATTGGGTCGGGCTTGATCGGTTCCTTCTCGTTGCCCTGGCAGATCTTGTCTGTATCGGCTTCCATCTTGACGTTGAACGGGCTCTCTCCCATGGGGTTCAGCATCGCATGTACTTTCCAGCGCTAGTGCTGGCCGTGCTCCGCGGGGGGATTTCTGCGCCCTCGCGTAGCGGACTAGATCCGCCAGCTCGTTGTACTCGATAAAGTCTATGATGAGGCTAGGCTTCTTCATGTCTGCCTGGATGTGATGCGGGAGCTCTGGCATGTTGTCCAGCGCCACCAGAAAGTCCGCTGCCGAGTGCGCGCGTGGGTTCTCCTGGCCCGTCTCCCCGTTCTGGCTGCGCTCCGCATGCATCTGCTCCGCGCTGGCCCAGGCCTGCGTCGCCGAGTGGTCTCTTTTGTCCACCGGAACAAAAAACCCACAATCTGTCTGAGATTGCCCTGATCACTTGGGCGCTGTTGAGCGTGAATTTTTCCATGTTGAATGCTTCCTCTCCGCTCGCCTGGTTGCCATCGGACTTGCCCGCTTGCTTCTTCGGGTCGTCGCGCGCGTGCGTCTTCGGCGGCTGAGGCCCTCCCCCCGCCTCTGAAAGACCGCGTGCCCTCCTGCCGTCTGCCGTCGCCCTCCTCGCCATGTGGGCCCTCGCCGCGACTGCAGACGCGGTCCGAGTGCTCGTGTAGTTCACTAAGCTAAGCGGAGCAGTCTCCGCGCGTGTAAGAAGGAGACTCGATGGGCCGGACTGCAAAGGACGTGGGACGAGTGGGGAAGGCATGGGGCACGCGCTTGTCCATTGCGAGGCAATGTCGCATGCGCGAGGCACATGGGGTACATGTGCAAACGTTCGTGGTGATAAGCATGGAGTGCGTTTTTCTCATCCGATGTGCAGGTGTGCTGCGCGCTGTTTTTGCATGTCTGGAGCTTGCTTACACGAAGTATACCATCTTCGAACTCATGTGTACAGGGTAGATCCATTCGTATACGATCGTGCTGTGCTCGCTGTTCGTGTTGCTTCGCACAGCTGCTCTGCGTCGTGCTGGCCGCCCCCCCCCCAATGCCCCCCCCCGTCTTCGGTAAGCCCCGCCAATCTCCTGTATCGCTCCAGTTTATCTCCTCCTGCAGGCCAAAGTGAATATCTGTTCGAGGCGACATCGCATTTGGAACAGGTGAGGGCGAGGGGGCGGTCGTTGAAGACGCTGGGGATGTTTTCCAGGTCGTGCCAACCGCGGCCAAGAGAACTATCCACTCGGGCCAGCGCCCGTAAGTCCTGCATGCGCTGACGCGCCCACGGAGTGCTGCACTTCACAAGGTGGCCTCTCAAAGCGAGACGTGACCGGCAAAGCTGACGGTCGAGCTCGGTGGTGCCGAACATGGCCATTAGCACCTGACCATTGTTCCCTGGGGGCCGCACCATGGCCTGGTACCAACGGAACCTCTGCACTCGAAGTTCTGTCGCAATGTGACCCAAGATTCCAAATATTGCTTGTTGACGGGCGTTCGAATACGAGTCTCATACTGCTGTTTAGCTTTTCCGTGCATGCGGCAACGTGCGAGTTTAATGATAGTCAAGTCCGGCGCCTACGTGGACTCTACTGGCAAGACAAACGCCGTCACCCCTGTGCTGGCAGCGCTGTGCACGAAACAGAGGAACAACGTGCAGTGATGCCGATGACCAAGAGGCTGGTGCCAAACGTCGCCTACGGATCTCCATGTTGCCCGGGCTCCCTCGAATCCTGTTTTCAATTCCGTGCGAAACGTTCCATCAAAACTCAAGATGGTTCCGAGTACCCTGCTTTCTCTGCAAATCTCACCATGAAGAAACTTGTGTTTTGATAGCGTCTTGGCAGTCTGAAGCGAAATGTCCCCCGAGAAAGAGGTGAAGTGGTTGATCTTGTCAGCATTCAGATACTATCCATCTACATTTGTATGATCTTGTGGGTTGCTGACTGCCTGTTCAAATTGCTGTGTGATATACCTTGTATGTGCTGGATAGCCATGTACATGGAGCCTTGCGGCATCGTCGATAAAAAGCCTGGTGCCCATGTCAACGAAGTCCTCCCCACCAGTTACAGCCAGCCGCCGAAGCCACGTATAACTGATGTCTGTGTTTGCTAGCTCGTCGTTCCATCTAGCTACTGAGGGGGAACACGCGTCTACGAAGCCCCCAGCCGCCATCGAATGCCCCATCGTGGTGCCGATGCCAGGGTGCATGTCTAACTCACGGTCTGCTCCCGTAGCGTGCATGGAAACCATGTGCCATGTCTACATCATGGTCCAGAAGCTCAACGTTACCTCTGCGGCCGTGCTGTACGCTTGGTGCAGGCAAGCGCGTTCGTGCCGTCGAAGTTCGAAATCGTGTGGCTAACTTTTTCATCTCGGCATCTCCAGCGAGCAACAGCAATACTAAGGCTACCCCCTCCCTATTTCTCCCACGTGGCCCTCCATGCGCGACATCTGGGGGGGGGGGGCAGGGCAATTACTTACTCTTTGAAGGTGTCCATAATACGACATGCAAAACGCATCGAAGCAGTATAGGATGCGCTGAGTCCTAATGCCCATATTGCCATTGTTCTTCGCCTGTGCGAGCGACTGTGAGCGCAGCGTCGAAAGCGGGGGGAGTCCGACGATCCGAATGAACGCAAGCAAGTCGTCATATCTCCTCGAGAGAACTTCACGGGTGTACGTGCGCCGCCGAGAAAAAAAACGATACAGGTGGAAATCGATGCACATGCTGAGGGCCTCTGCAACTACTCCTCAAGAAGGCCCCGCCCGTCGTTTAGGTGCACGGCGTAAGTTCCCTATATGAGAGTTCTGTCGCTGCGCACTAACTTGGTGAGGTCCTGAAGCTGGTGTATGTGTGGCAAGAGACTCCGATCCAATATCCAGTCTTGCAAATTTCTTGCGGGTCACGAGCCATGCCGCTTCCCACTGTGTCGTCGTCATCGCCTGCATGACGGAGAAAAGAAAGCGATTTTAGGGTCCTTCACCCGTGCAAGCAAGTTTAACCCTCAGCATTTGGATCTCTGCCATGCGTCCATTGCGCCATGCTTTCCAAATCTCCTCAACCAAGATGCTCGTTTTCTCCGACTTCTGTTGGTGTGAGGTGAAGGAGGAGGAGCAGGAGGAGGAGAAGGAGTGCGGGTACCCTCAGGAGGAGGAGAAGGAGGAGGAGGAGGATTCGGGGGAAACTGTTGATAGTACAGGTGTCCCCAGCTTTTCGCGCCATTGCTGGAGCCTCTGAGGCCCTGTGGGCCTCGTGATGGGTGCTCTGTAGGCCGTGGGGGCCTCCCTGAAAATCCATGGGGCAACTTGGGCCAGGGACACCTTTGGCAACACCCGAAGGCTGCGGGAGGAAGGCTGGTCACCACCTTCCCGTCCCCTCGCTCTCCTTCTCGCCTGGTGCTGCGGAGACCCTAATGCTCCTCCTCCTCGTCCTCCTCGTCGATGGCCCGATGGCTCTGGAAATCCTAAGCCTCCTCCCCCGCCGCCTCCCCCTACAGTCGGACATAGGACAGAAACATATCTTTCAAGAACATGAGACCCTGCGCCAATGAAACGAAGATCAATCGAGGGTGCCCTCCCCAGGATGCGCCAGAACATCCAACCAACACGAAGAACATTAGGGCGCCCTCCCCGAACCGACCTCGAACTTAACACATCGGTCCGATTATACCCCCCTCCCCCTGCTCTTCCCCCCGATCCTTTCCTGCTGCAATGACCTCGGCGCGCCGGCGTGGGCGTCGCCCGCGGCACCGGCACGGAGCTCTGCGACCTGCCGTGGCGCCGCTTGCACGCCGACGACGTTGCCGCAGGTACAGTCGGACCCAGGCCAGAAGAACATCCCTCAAGCACATGAGACCCTCCGTCGGCCAAAACATACAGAACATCTAAGGGTACCCTTCCCAGGATGCGGAATAATATCCGACAAACACGAAGAACACTAGGGTACCCTCCCAGAGGCGACCTCGGGAAATGTTCCAGTCTGTTCGTGCCTGGGACAGACAAACTCATCTCACAGGCAACGGCGCAGCAACAACATTCAAGCGTCAAGCGTGTTCGGCGTGGCTCCACAAACCGCACGAACATGCTTGCATCACGGCATCAGGGAAGCAGGCGCGAGAGAAGGACACATAACTTCAGGATACTGTGGTCCTGGATGGCACTGTGCATGGTCCGACGTGCACCTATCACTCCCCTCCCAGAAGTATCGCGCCAGATCTTCAGATTTCCGAGCATGTCCGAGCCACCAGTGAGGCGCCCTGCGACAGGCCAAACCTAAGACCCCAACCGAACAGGGAAACTAAAAGCTGCTTGGCTTCAAGAAGAGGAACATCTGTGGACGAACGCGTTTGCTCACGACACCATGCACACTGTGGTGGTTTTGGCACGAGGAGCGAGAAGGGAGGACGAAACAGAGGGCATGGGAGGGAGGAGGAAGGAGTGCAGAACGGGCAGGGAGTGATAAGACGGACCACAATAAACCTAGTACACATCGCTGATTATGAAACACGCCTTCCCGTCCCAAGCTTCCCCCTTGATATAGCCATGCAGCTACCACGAGGAACGCTATGAAAATAATCACATCCCTTTTTGGACCCACGGGTCCTGGGCGCAGGAGGAGCGCCAGAGGAGCAGCCCTGGAAGGACTCGAGGAACAACGAGCGCCTTCCGAACCAGATGAGCTGTCCCTGACGGCAACTTGATGTCGTGACAACTTGGGCGTTGGTTCCTGACACCGCGTGGATCGTTCAACATTCAATGATCGGCTGCCTTTCGATGGCCAGATCGTTCCATATTTGCAGGTTCTGGGCCACTGGCGGCGTTCGACTTTGAACGCCTGCGGCGGGGCCGCTGCTGCGTCGACACGACGCGAAGCTGCAACATCTCTGATGAACGGACAACGCACGCACACACACGCACACACCCATACTTACAGAGGGTCTGACCCGCGTTTCGTGATTGTGCGGGTTGTCGGACACCGAAAAGGAACCCCCGTTTGAGCGGGGACTACCATCCGACAACACGCACCCACAGCCCTTCCAGAAATCAATCCCAACACAAACGGTGAGGTCTGGGGGTCACATATTTACGGAGGCTGGTTGACAACTCGTGAATCTCGGCGTCTTGACCGCGGGAGTCCCCAGAGACGGGGCGGGCGGCTGCTGGCTAGAGCGCGGCGCGAGATGGGTGCTGGGACCCCAGAGGCGGTGGACATGGACATACGTATTTTGGCCCCCTGGACAGTGGCAAGTGCAATAACGCTAAGTACTTGCAGCACGGCGCGCGCGCGGCAGCATTCCCTCAGGGTTCAGCGGTCGGCGTCGACACGGCCCGAACCTGAGGGTGCTGAGTACGTGCAGCGCGGCGCGCGCGCGGTAGCCTTGCCTCAGGGCCTCAACGATCGGCGTCGACACGGTGCGAACCTGCCGTGCTTCAGCGTCTTGGCCGCAGGCCTGCCCCGGGCGTCGCCGCAGCGCTGCGGCGACCGCCAGCATGGAAGAGAAACTGGGGCGCCGCACGCCTGCCGCCGTGGCTAATCCCGCGCGCGCCCTGGGCGCGCCCGCCGACGCGCAAGAATGACCACGGGGTACGGTCGGGGACTTTTTGCTTAGCTTGTCGCAGCGGCGCCCCAACGACACGCTATCCCCTGCAAGCCGTGTCGCTTCAATCCGCGGGGCGGGGGACTGGGAGCTGCTGGGGGGCTGGGAAGCGGGAGGCGTGTCGCGCCAAAGCGTTTTGTACCA